CACAAAACGTTAATAGAATTTATAAAAAATGTAATATTCATTCATTTACCATTACTATACTAATTTGCAACAATTAAAACCCTACTTAATATTTAATACATAATAAAATTATTATTCTAATAAAAATCAGATGCCATAAACTATGTAAAAGTTAATATCAATTTTTAATTTGATACACTAAGAATAAATATAATTTGTCTTTTAATATCATTATACTTTTATACTTTAAATATATTATCAATTGACTCATTCCTAACTTTCTATTATGAATTAGTGTCTCAAGTAGAACATGATATTATATTACTAAAAGTTTTGTTATTTCTGAAATTGATAGCAATAAATTTTTAGATTGATTAAAGTTGAAGCCTAGGGATATTCTAAAATAACAATATTTCAAAATTAAATATACAACAACATTAATAAGTTAATGGTATTGTATAGATAGGTTCAGAATTCTCTAGTAGCAATATACAAATAAAAGAACCAATTTATACACGAAGAACAGCAAATAAAAATACTTTGTAAAATAATTTGCGAGTAAATAAATTTTATTATTAAATCTGATCGAATTATCTTTTAAAATTTCTATTATTGTATGTATATATATATATTATAATACAATATACATACTTTTCAGTGAAAGCTTAGAGCGTTAAAATAGTTTAATTTTGCTTCTAAATAATGCATTAATAATCTAACCTGTTGAAACTAATAGATAAGTTCTCAACTTTTAAGTATAAATTAATATTGTTAAATATTTTAAATAGCGCCATAATTCATATTAATTAGTGTTATAATATAATATTTAAAAATATATAAAATATATGACATTAACTGCTACATACAACTGAACCATTAAATCTCAATCTTTAAATAATTTCCAGCTTTGATGTGAATATTTAATCGTCTCCATTACGAAAATCTGCACAAGATTCATAATAATCAACTTTTGTTTCATGTGCAAGCATAACCACTTTTTTCTATGGCTCTCTTGTTTACGTTACCATTTTAACTCTATTAAGTTTTCCTTATTATGATCACTACTTTTTTTTCTATTTGTTTGATGATATAAATTATTCGAACAAGCGAGTCTGTTTTTCTCTCTTTTAAATTTTTTTAATAAGAAACCAATGTTATGCAATTATAATACAGTTATTTTGTACAATAATTGCATAAAATGAATATTTTTAATTTTTATTTAAATTATATTTAAATACTTACGGTAATATATCATTTAGTAATTAATCTTAATTTATCATTTTTGTTTTTTAAGAATGGAACTCAGATTAATGGCTTTGTAAATAATAGATATAAAGAATAAAATCAGAGTAAAGTTCCATGACTCATATGTTAGTTCAATCTATTTTATCGTCATGTCAAAATTCATTGGAGTAGTTCAGAAAACAAACTATTTTGAAATTGAAGAAAAAAAATGTAAAATAAATATATCTAAGAAAATAATTTATATTAATTTTAATATTAAATGTAGATATCACCACAAAACTATATTTATTCGTTTGTACTAAATAATTTCCATACAAAAAATAGCATACAATTTCACTTTCTTAAAAATGCCATATTCTAGGAAATTTTAGGTAAAGTTTGAATGAAATACGCAAGAATTAAAATAATAAATAATCAATTTTGAATGTTTAAATGTTTATTTCATTCCAAGCGTTGTTTAAATTTCAATGTACAAATTTTGTTTTTTTATTATTATTATTATTATATATTATTTTAATATCTGATAAATATTTTAAATCTGACAATTCTTTGACGTTATGAATAATTTATAAATAAAATTTCTCTTTATTTTAAACACTAACAATTCATTATTTAAAGTTGTAGAAAATTTACTTTAAACTATTGTGAGTTAATATACAAAATGTTAAATAATTAAAAAATATATGAAACCCTAAACTAAATAACTTTTTTTTTTCATTTTCATATTATCAATAGTCTTTAATAATTTTTTTCTTCTTCTTTTTCTTCAATTTGGCTTTGAATTTCACTCGAAAAAGTACACTAGATCATGCTAAATAAAAATTAAAAATGCGTGAATATTGTTTTAGTTGTATATATTTTATAAATAATTATTCACGAATTGATTTATTAAATATCAAATATTTTTATGAATTATGTTACATACATTTGTAGATAACTTTAAATCTGAAACAAAAATATTGTATCATAAAAATAAGCATTAAATCTATAAACAAAAATAATTTGATCGTAAAAATCATTGAAATAAAATATCGTATTATTTACACTAAATGGTATTATGAATGAAATAATTATGGAAACTTATTTTAAAACTACGAAAAAAATTAGAATTTAAATATAGTATACCACGTGAAAAATATTTACTGTGATAAAAGTTTTGTTTATAGTTTTTGATATATTTATTCAAATTCTTATGCATTTATAAATTTTAACAATTAACTTGTACATAACTAATAATATAATTCTCATAATAATAATCTAGTAATAAAATTCGATTATAAAATCGAACAAACCAAGTTTTTTAATAACTAAGCGAATATTCTTGTTTTTTTTTCGTCTGGTACTTTCTCTTTCTCTTGCGCGCTGTCTCTCCCCCCCCCCTCTCTCTCTTCATATATATATATATATATTTATTATAATTATAAAATAATATATATATAATTTATATATATTATTGATAATAAATTATATTTATTTAAATAATATATAACTATATATATATATATATATTTATTCTCTCTCTCTCTCTCTCTCTCTCTCTCTCTCTATATATATATATATATATATATATTAATTATATATATGTATATATACTCGATTATTAAAATAGGTAGAGGTTTACATGAAGTTCTTCGATTTTGTATAAATACCTGTAAAAAAATAAATGTTAAAATAAGCAATAACAAAGAGAAATAAATTTTATCCCATTAGTGACTGTTACATATCGCCTAAATTCAAAGTAATTTGAATATTTTTATATGAATATTTGAAATAAATCTTATAAATTAACATTCTAAAAGTAAATAATTTTACTTTTTAAAGTAATGAGACTACAAATATATAGATATAATTAAGTAAATATATAAACAAATAAATTCAAAATTAGAAAGAGAGGAGATATATTTTTATAAGATTGTCGGAGAGATCAAGACGCCGGCTGATCGAAAAGTCTTATTCTACTGTAATCAAAGATTTTATGTCATCACATGATATGTAATTTAATTTACTTACATTATTGACTTGCTTAGTCAACATACATTATACTTATAAATCTTATTATTCTTTTTTAAAGTAATTTGCATTGATCGTTTGCGATCAATGTGCAATGTTCAGACTTTTTTTTAATAACTTGCTTTCCGTTACAATTCTTTGTCTAATAAATTTTTATTGCACAGCAAATCTATTAAAATTGTTCAATTTAATAATTAAATTGTATGTAAAATAATATATTTAAAATTAAAAAAAAACAACAATTAGTGCAAATCCTTTTTGTAAAGAAAAAGTATTTTATCGAGACAAACAATAAACATGTAGAAAATAATATTAAGTAAAAATATTGTAACATATATTGGTTATCGATACAATAGAATTTTTTGTTTTAATATAATCTCACAATCTCTAACACATAAATGCAATTAATTCAATTCATAAATAATAGAGATTGTTATCAATATTAAACAATATATTAATTATCTACAATATATAAATGAGGTTTTGACAATAATTACATGAAAATACTTGATAAATATGTAAGTTCAATTATTTATTACTGTGAGATTAACATTAAAAAATAATGATAATATTAACATATTAATATTTTAAACAGTGATAATTATTGCGAATAAATATTTTATTTACGATTCTAAATTACGATTATTTTAATGTTTTGTAGATTACACATGATTAATAACATCCAAGTATAATTCTATAGTCATTTTGAATAAGAGGCTAATCCACATATACTTCAAAATATTTATTTAATTAGATTATTACAACTTGATTTTGTAAAATAAACAATCATTTTACAATTGAAAGTATTAAAAAGTTTAGCTATTAAAAATGATTCTTTATTTTAATAATAATTATTTAAATTTACTAAAATATTTTATTTTCAAAAATATATTTTTTTTTCAAATATTCGTAATGATTATTTAAATTAAATATCTTTCTATTCGAAACTAGTTCTGGTTCTTATAAACTTTAAAACATAACTATGTTTTTATGAACAAATAAAACCAGATATTGATTTTTGATAAATTTACATTAATTCATTGACTATCTCTTTATACTACAAAGAAGAAAAAATATGAAGAATAAGTAGTATCTTAATCTTTAGTTATTTAAAAGGAATCTAAAAATCTAAATAAAAATAATTAGCTGACGAAAATATTCCTATTTTAAATTTTATTATTACTGTCAAATATTTCAGAACTTTACTTGTACATAAAAATAAACTGTAATAAATTAAGTATAATTACAATTTGTATATATGTAATACACAAAATTTTAATTTCTGATGCAATATGATCATTAAATTATAGAACATTATGAAACATACATAATTAAGGTTTTATATAATATACTCGAGCAAAAAACATATTTATATTTATAAAGTTCCTATATTATAGGAAGTAATTTTTTATTGTTCATGTACTATTACTTTTATAATTATTAAGATTTATTTTCAGGGGATAAAATAATCATTGATGTTTCATTTCTGACCGATTCCACCAATTAACTACACAAGTATTAACAGTAGCAGTTCCTCAAGCTACAGAATATGAAAAATTCATAATTTCTTTCCTTCTCTCTCACGTGTCATTTTTTTTTTATTTTTTTATTTGTTCATATGTGTAAAATAGTATTTCAAGTTAGAACGTAGAAAGAAAGAGAGTCGAAAAGAGAGAGAGAGAGAGAGAGAGAGAGAGAGTGAGAGAGGGGGAAGAGACGATCCATCGCGACTTATCATTGAGAAGGTTTTAAGACGGTGACGCTTGCCAAGCACATCAGTATACTTCGTAACTTACAAGCAACCGTGTGGTATTGTTCTCTTTCAACCAATAATAAGAACAAGTGAGTCAAAAGCGAGTTTTCGCATCCGTAAAGGAGCAAGTGTCTGGCACCAATGACTGGAGTGCATAAATGGTGCCAGAGTCAACGGAAACGCGGGGCAAATACAATCGAAAGCAAGCAAACGACAGAGAGTATTATCAACCAGCAATTTTTTACCACGGAACACAATCACATAAAAACATATCGAAATGGGTAAGCAGTGATATTTAATCAGAGATATTATAAATCATTTAAAAATTATTTCGTAATGAATACTCATTGATGAAAAACTGTAGTTTATGAATACTCAGAAATTTCAGAATTGGAATTTTAAACAAATATCAATAATTTTTAACAGTCAGAAATTAGAAATCATATATTTATATATCATTAATAGATCACTTCTTATGTATTTCATAACGTAAATATTACAAGATCTTATCCAAAGCTGTTTGAATTAGCACAATTAGCATAAGTATTTCATGATGAAAAATGTAATGGAAAAAATTATACGATTTCATTATACAAAAATTTCTTTGGTAGAATAAAAAATGTTTAGTAATATATTTTTAAAGCAGTTTCATTAATTCATTTTATGAATTATTTAAAAATAATGATTAAATAATAATAATAAATTTTAATTTATTTTGTCGTATATTATAATGAAAAAACAATTAAATAGTAAGTCGTAATTTTTTCATATAAATGTTACATAATTTTTTTATTTCTTGTTGATAACATCAAATTCAATTCATTAAAATGTTTTAAAAATGCATGCTCCTTATTAAATTTAAATAAAATATTTCACAAAAAATTTAATCTTTAATATTTAGTTAATAATAATAAAGTATGATAACTGTATCCTCTTTAAATTGAAATTTATTAATCATTATTTACTTTTTAGAATATTAATTGGTTGATGTATACATATATTCACTTTTAAGATTTTTTAATGAAATACATTCCATTTTGTTATTTATAAATGAAATTTGTACTATCGATAAAAAGGATATGAGTGCGATAGGAAATTGTAAGTGAAGTAAATTATTACTGACTGTGAATTAATTAATGAACATAGAATAAACTTTTCATGGCTGACATGAGTTCTCATGGAATTGCATTCAATCACAGGAACATAATTAATTTAGTAATTAATTTTTTAGTCTTTTAAGCTTTCATTACTTAAGCTTATTTAAATTATTGATCAGCTTTATTAAAATAAAAACCTATGTAAAGAATCAATCAACACTTGGATCAACTTTTATATAATTATATAAGCGACTGTATATGTCGATTTAACCAACAAATTGTTATGCGTATTATTTTATTACCAAACCAAAGTGACTTGTATATTAAAAAAATCTTGAATTTATTGTTTTAATTTCTAAATGCAATAAAATCGTACAATATTTTATATTTATTATATATTTATAGTTATATATGCAGAGATTTTCTTCAATTTCCAAGTCGTCGAAACCTTTTACATTACGTTTTAATTGTAATTATTAGAAATTTGCTATTCATAATAACTTTAATATTTTTTATTTTACGAACTATAATTATATTTTGTAATATATGTAAAAATAATAAGAATTTGATAAAGTAATTAATACGTATATTTTTATTAAATATTAATTAAGTGCTTAAATTTATGCTTATAATCATATAATTGATTTATTTCACGAGTATTTAGATAAATACAAGTGATGATTAAAATGGGAATTTCATTTGTATGTAATTAGTTATATATTTATTACAATATTTTACATAAAATTAAAAACAATAATAGTAATAAAAAATATTAATTTTACATTGCTAATTCACAGTGAAATTAAATCTTAAATTTTAAATCTCGAAAAATATATAAAAAAAAATATATAAAAAAAAAAAAAATTTCTAAATATTTTAAATTCATATAATATACACATATATTTGAATAAAGATACAAGACATGTAAAATATATGTTTGTATTTAAATTGTTTTATAGCTAAAAATAATATATATTTATTATATTTTAATTTACTTACATATATAAAAATATAATTTTATAAAATTGTGAATGTATGAATAAAATTATTTATTATTTTATATTAAAAAATTAACATAGAAAAATGTAAAATAATATTACAGTGAAATAACAATTAAAACATTAAAAACTTTACTTTTAAAAAATGAAATTATAATAATTAATTTAAAGGTTATCAAAGCTTTCACAATATAATGTGAATTAATGGTTTAAAAATAAAAATTTAATTTTCAAAATCTGATAACAAAATTCGTAATTAAATATCTAAACTTAATATTTAATATAAGTACCTATTAACGTATTTAATGTTAAAATATATAACTATCATAATTCAATTTAGAATTTATACTCAGAATTGGAACCTCTTAAGTTGTTTAAACACAAAAATCATATTTAATTTCATTATAATATTAAACATAATATATTTAATATATTAAATATATATAAAAAATGCAATAATTTTCAATATTCGAAAAATTATAAATAAATTTGCTATCTAATATAGTTTTATCATATTAAATTTTAATAAACTACGTTAAACTTAAAAAAATACTGATATTTAATGAACATACATATATCTAGATCTTTTTTAAAAAAAAGGCTTGAAAAACTAAAGATTCAAAATATATTTTTATATAGTGTCGGTTTTTAAATATTTTCATTTTATGATAAAACTCATGTGGCAATGAAAAAATCTAAATCAAATTAAATATATTTCTAGGTAGCACGAAAATAAATATTTACATAAACCAAAAAAATCGTGGATTTATAGAATTTTTTTCTTATTTAATAAATATAACCTTGACTTGAATAAATATATGCTTATATCTACTGATAAAAATATTTACTTCAATTTCGAAGATGTATTTTATAAAATTGTTGAATGACAATTGTTTCACTCTTAAGAATACAAGTTGAATCATAATAGTTTTGCTGGAACAATTAGATGTTTACTTGCAAATAAAATTGATAGTAGTATTACTACTATTTATTGATAATGAAACACATTTTAAAAAATGTAGAACTTGTCAGACAGAATCAGAAACAAAATTAATTGTTCTTAATTCAATAACTAAGAATGAAATAAAACTTTGGTTTTAGGGCTCGACTTCCTGGCAGACGGAGGTGCCGACTTCGAGCATGCAATCAGTGTTACAGGTAAGTTAAAATCATGAAAGGATGAGTTATTATATTATTTCACTTTTTATTTAATGCCTAATATATATATATATATATATATATATATATAGTTGATAAGGTTGATAATTGTATTAAATTTAAAACAATAAATTCATCTTTCATACACACGTAAATAAAAGGAGCAGCAACATAATCATGTTTTTGTAATAAAACTTCGTTATCAATTATTATCAAGAAAAATTAATTACAAAATAGTATGTGTAAATACAGCCTCATAATTGCCATAGAACACCATAATGATGAAATCAGGTTTAATGCGTCCGTTAGTAAATATTTGATCGCGATAACAAATTTTTGAAGTTATGGGACATAGATAATGATATCCAACCACTAATATAATATTTAAATTGTCTGTATAATCATTATGCTTGTTCATTATACGAAAGAATAGTTTAGCGCAATTATAATGTTTTGTGTAAAATTATAATTACTGATAATAATAATGGAATCGATAGTTTATTGTAGATAGTTTAAAATATGATTATTCTTTCTTTCTGTAAATTTTTATCATTAATTTATTTGATTGTACAATGAATTATTGATTTTGATATTGTTTGATGAAGGTAAAATAATATACAGTTTATCAAAAATTAAAAATTCTATAATTGAAATAAACTCTTAATCATTGATTGTATGATATTATTAAAATGTTAAAAGCATCGATACATTTTATTTGCTTCATAGTTAACTGTAGATTTCAATTTTATTTAATACATAATACTTTTTTAGAATAATTGAAAACAATTTTAGTGTAATTTACCAATAAGTTTTATAATACATTTTAGCATATTAATTTTTAAAATATATTAATCAAATAATGTATTATTCTATAATATGTAATGATATGTTCATCATTCCGAAAATATTACACTGAATTTTCTCAACTTATCTTGAGAGCATTAAAAGAATTGAAAAAAAAAAATTTTATCGCTTTCCGAATATGAAAATATATCTAAACATTATTATTTATAACTTTATCGTTGAAATTTTGAAAATTTGAAAAATTACAATAATGAAGGAATGAGTCGAATAATTATTAATATTTCAGGCTTCGGAAAATTTCATTACATGCTCCTAGCAGTATGCGGTTTAATTTACATGGATACAGCCATCGGTGTCACAATTTTATCTTTCGTGCTGCCTGCTGCTCAATGTGATCTCCAAATGGATTCCACATCTAAAGGATGGTTAACGGCTGCACCAATGCTTGGTACATTCAGAATTATTTAATGCTACGAAAATAAATGTAATAAGTTTCTTTAAACAAATTCAATGGTTGCATCTAAAAAACATTGTTTTAATTCCTATAAAATTTCTTAATATTTAATATAGTATACGAATTTGGTGATTGATTTATTCACTAATTAAAAGAAAGAATTAAAATAAATTAATGAAAATAAAAATAAAAGTATGCAAAAATAAATTTTTGACAAATTGCAAATGCGTCTGATGTATATATAACGTATAACATTTTTTTTTCAATTATCAGGACCAATATAAATATAACAGTTAATATATTTTCTTGTGTATAGGAATGGTCATCGGTTCATATATATGGGGATGTTTGGCCGATACAAAAGGACGTAAAGTTGTGCTCATAACAACTCTACTTATGGATGGTATTGTTGGTATACTATCATCCTTCGTTCAGTATTTTTGGGTCTTTTTAGTATTTCGTTTCTTTAATGGTTTCGCGTAAGAATCAGTTATCAAAATTTAATTACCTTTCAACTCATTGTTTTATTTGCAATTGAATTCTCCGTTTTAGAGTAACGGGTGCAATGGGAATCGTATTTCCTTACTTGGGTGAATTTCAACCGACGAAACATCGTGAAAGGATTTTATGTTGGATGGAGATGTTCTGGACTATTGGAGTTATTCTGTTACCATGTTCGTATATATTTTTTGATCTTTACAAATTATATCATATCATTAATTATGAAGAAACATCTGTTTTATATTAAAAATTAATTTTCCATTAATAAAAGGTAGAAAATATTAATTTATAAAATATTTTCATATTTATCAACAAAATAATATATTCATCATATTTCAAACATATCTAGTCATTATTATTACAAATTATTTTTGCTGAAATATAGGAAAATAATTTACTTTTTTACTCGAGAAAATAATTAATTAATATAATTCAATCAATTAATAATTAATGAAGTACAATCATATAGCTGCAAAACATATATTTATATATAAATTGTACGATCGTATGAATTATACGATGGTTCTATTAAATATACACCATTGCGTTATTATAATAATAATATGCATGTAACAAACTATCGCGACTTTATTTGCAGTGATCGCATGGCTAATTGTCCCGCTAGATTTATCCTATGAGACAACAACTTTCGACTTCAAATCCTGGAATCTCTTCGTAGCTTTGTGTGCTTTGCCTTCTCTCGTGCTTGGTCTCTGGCTTTTCGCCTTTCCCGAGAGTCCGAAATTTCTTCTTGAATGTGGAGAGACCGATGCAGCTCTTGAGGTTTTCAGATGGATTTACGCGCAGAATACAAGCAACGATCCCGACACTTATCCAGTAAATATCTAAATTCTTAAATTTAAAGTTATATGTTTGAAAATATAATAGTGATAATCTGCATAAATTTTATATTGAATTTCAGTTTCAATGTATTAAAAGCATTAGATATTTACCATGTAATAAACTCTAAATTATATATATATATATATATATACTTTTATACTTTTATAGTTTGAAACTATAATTTGAAAGTATTTATAACAGATTTTAAGAAATCTGATTCAAATTCAATATATTTCAAATTCATTGCCTCTAACAATAAATTATTTATGATAGGTATTAATATGTACAATATTTTAGTCACGCATTGCTTATTATAAATTATAAAAGTACTAATAAATATACAAAGGACTTCAATCTTTCTAATAAGAATTTTAAATACGATTTAAATTATACATTTTTAAATACGATTCTACATTTTCTTGCTTTATCCAACTGAAACGAAAACAAATTTATTAGTATGTAACAAAGTATAAATTATTTATTTAGGTAAAATTTCTTCAAGAAAAACCGAATTCGAAAGACAAAAGTACAAGAGCTTTAAAGCTTCATAGAAGAAAGGATCTAAAAGTCCTTGTTGCAGAAGTTTGGGATTTAACAAAGGCGCTTTGTAAACCACCTTACGTAAAAAATACTCTTTTAGCTTGTGGTATTCAATTTGGTTTAACGAGCAGTTATTATACACTGATGGTCTGGTTTCCTGAATTATTTACGAGGTACACTAATAAAATGTTTTATTTTCAATAACCAAATTAATAACTTTTAATAAACAGATAATTCAATATTAACGTAATATTTAAATGTAATATTCTTAGTAAAATATAAATATTTTTATACTGATTTTATTATTTTAAATTTTTTAATTAAATTATTTTAAAGCATAGTAGTATAAAGCTTTAATATGGTAGTCAATATACGCATTGTTTTTATAAAAATATAATTTAATAGTATATAATTAGTATAAGAATTTCTTACATTATGCTTGAAATTTAAATATTCAAATTCAGGATGAAAATGAACTTTTGATTATTGTTTATATTTAAATATTCTATTGTGTAAAAATATTAATTCATTTGATTGGTAAATTAATTTTTAACATTGTATTATCGATGTGATTATATAGGAATATTAGTATTTTAATTAATCTTCTTTCTTTAGTTAAGTCAAATCACCATTTTAATACTCTCATTTATTGACAAAAATTGATCAATTATGCAAGTATTTATATTAATACTTTATTTAAATACATAAAAATTACTTTATATAAATGAAAATATACAATCTTGATTTGAATTAAAATATGCAAATTTAATTTCCATGAAAGCAATATAAACATTATAACAATATAAAATAAGTTGTATCTTTGATAGTTCGTTTATAAAATTATTTTTAAAATATTTTAAACTATTAAAGAAGTCATTAATTTTCAATAGTATTCAATTACATGTAATTTTATTGAGATTATATTTTGTAATTTACATATTAATTAGGCTAAATTTTTTTATTTTTGGTTTTTCTCTCGCACGAACTAACATAATATACTTATTTGAAGTTCCAAATCATTGATTAATATTTTTTACATTATGATGGATGATTTAAAAAATTATTTAAAAATACTTATATTTTTCCAGGTTCGAAGAATTCGAGGATACATATCCCGATAAAACAACGTCAGTGTGCATCGTGTCCGCATTACCTGGAAACATGACGGATCTAGATCCTTATGGATGTGAAACAACAATCCCTCCATCCGTTTACTTGCATACTGTTTATATTGGCCTCGCTTGTGTTCCTGGATCCATTGTACTACCTCTTCTCGTTCACAAGCTAGGAGCTAAATTTTTTCTCAGTAAGTATCGAGAATTGTTTCTCAACTCTTTCATATGTGATTATAATTTTATTTATCCTTAAATAAATTGTTTCAATTTTTCTTACACTAATTAATATACTGATTTTATTGCAATCCCAATATTGAATACAAATTTAATAGCAAACAACTATAAAAAAGGGTTGAGTATCGCTGCATAGAGTTTGAAAATTTATTCATTCTTTATTCTCAATTTTTCAGTATTTTCCCTGGTGATTTCGGGTGGTGTGACGGTAGGCTTCTATTACGTGATAAATGCCACGCAAAATCTCATACTTTCCTGCCTTTTCGAAGCACTTACATCTCTTGGAATATCATTGGTTTATTGCGTAATTGTTGACATGTTCCCAACTAATCTTAGGTAAGTTACACATACTTTTATAAAAACCATTTTGTATTCGAAAGTATGCAATTAAATTCTGTTAATCATTAAATCAATAAGAAGGCAGATTAAAATCATATCGTATTCGTTTCAATTTTTACTTTAAGCTTTTATTTTTATTTATTTGCATTAATTTTGAAAGAGATTACTTTGTAATACTTATTAAATATATTAATTTTTATATTCGCATCAATACTATTCTAGGATAACCTATATCTCAGATATTATAACGTATAAAATTTCAACGGGTCATTCAATTTTTATTTTAAATATAAAAACTGGTCTTATTTGATTAATTCTTTCATTTATTTTAGTTATGAAAATATATTTTTCTGATTAAAAAGCTTCCTACATTTTAATTTTATATAATATGCTATATAAAATAATTTCACTTTTTATGTTACAAAATGATATGATTTGCTCTCTATGATGATACAATATTTCAATTATTATACAAACTAGAGAAAAATTTAAGAACGTTTAATTAATGTATAAAATTCACTTTCAAATTACTTTTAAATAACCAACAAATTAAAAATATTTTTTTAACAGAGTTTCTATTATACGCATAAAAATATATCTAATTATAAAAATACATGTTAATGAAATCTTAATAATACGATGGCAACCAAATTATAAAAGAAACTAAGCATTATATTACTTGTATCAAAATGCAGATAGATAGAAATGTATAAGAACACTATATGACATCTTTGGTTTACGCCTATTAACAAACTCATTTCATTTTACAACATACACACGTTTGAAAAACTTTATTTTGGGACGAGGCCTTTGGCTGAATTTATAACACCAAGTTAAAAAAACTTTGGCACTCGACGTGGTTATCGCAACATTTTCCTGGCTAGCATCTATTACTTTTAATAGCTTTACTCAATTGACTTCTCTTTGAACAGCATTTTTTTCGTTGGAGTATAACTTGTACATTAAATCCCTACCGTACCGACACAATGTAATAAAATATAATAGACATATAACGTGTTGCAGTTCCTATTTCTATAGTATTTGATTTTTATAACCTACTCTGCCCATACCTATCGTACCTATCGTTTTATCAAAATTTAAATAAATACAGTAACATACTTTGACATAGACTTTCTTAATTTACTTATTATTTTTTTAACTATATAAAAAAAATTATGAAACTATGTATGAAATTAAAGCATAAATTAACAAATTTTATGATTTTAAATATTGTATAATCTTTTTAAAATTTTATAACTTGTATTTATTTTTAAACTTTACACGAAGGTTAAACTTGAATATTTGATTATATTTGTTTATATTATTAAAAAACTAATATTTAGAGTAAATATTTTATCTTGTACTTTGTTATTCAGAGCAATAATTTGTAAACATTAAACTCTTATTATTTAGTAATAATATTTCATTCATCACGTATTATAGTGGTAACGTACTATGCGGCTGTGAACATTTTATCATTAATTGTCAAAAGTTATTTCTATATAATTTATATACAAAAAAATAAAACTCATTTAGTAAAATATAGTACTCAAGAAAAGAAAGAAATTTTGTTCCGAATTTTATAAAAAAAAATTGTAAATTTAAATATGTTATTATTTTTCTAATTTCAAGATTGTAGAATAGCATTCTAAAATTGTTGAAATACAAATTTAAATTTTGATCTGTTGATAATTATAGATACATTTCCGCATTTTGTTTTTAAATATTTTTTATGATGTTACTTTCCTATTTAATTGATAAATTAGGATAAAAGTATTAACTTAAATTTATTGATGCATAAATATCAACCGTTAAATCTAACAATCATATATATATATATATATATAATAATAATAAATAATTTGAATTTAATAGTTACTTTTTAAAATCTAATTATACAATTAAATGTAATGGTATTAAAATAAGATGTAATCGTGCTTTCTTGATTTTCAGAGTTATGGCAGCAGCTTTATCTCTTACAATGGGCCGATTAGGTGCATTGGTAGGAAATTTGGTATTCGGTTATTTAATCGACTTGGCCTGTGTTGTACCAGTGATCCTTTTCGCCGCTTTTTTATTTGGTAAATAGCTTTCAAATTAAATTTGATATTAGCAAAATATAAAATGAGAAAATTATAAAACTAATATTGTATTTATTTATTTTAGCTTGTGGGTTTCTGTCGATTTTCTTACCGAAGACTGGGAAAGAGACACTAAATTAACAGAGATAATTAAACATCTCTCATAAAAATCATTTTGCCTTTTGTACATATATACTTACGTATTAATATGTGTGATATTTTATTATTGCATTCAAGAATAGAATACGTCCAAATAATTAATAATTATATCAATAAATATAATATTTTAATGAGTTTCGATTCTAAAAAAAAAACAAATTTTCTATTTAAGAAAATATATGAAACTACAATTATTTTCCAATACAAAGAAATGCATCTATATTATCACTATAATTATTTTTGTTCTAAACAGATTATTTATATATTTTGATACTAGATATCAGATAAAATTAAAAAAATTAGAAGTGTTTAAAAGATTTTGTTAGACACGTTAAAATCAATAGCACAAAAAAGAGAATTAGTTAGAAAAAAACCAACTGATGTCCAACGAGTATTCATAATGTAGTAATTTTTTACTATTTTATATATGTGTGTATTTATTTATATATAACGTATCATGTTAATGGCTATTGTAAATGGTCATTATATACTAGAAATATGTCGCATGGTTACATTAGAAAGAAGAACTTGCATAATATCAAGTATTTAAAAATACCGATGAAATACTATAACTTAGCCTTTATTGATTATGTTACAATGAATTAGCGAAATTTTAATAAGAGATTTTCTAAGAGTACGTTAAATCATACGTTTATAATAGCGTGTTTTACATATTCACACGCATAATTTAAACGATCAAAGAATTTCTACATTATTAATGTACATTTTTTAGTGCCTTAAAATTTAATAACTAAACAATAAATAGGTATAAAAATATTTTGATACGTACTTACATCGCTTCAGAAAATGCAGTCCTATGTTTTATTATGATTTAATTAATTTTTAATTCTGAAATTAATTATTTAATTAACTGTTCAATAAAATTGCATTAATATTGTTTCAAAGTCAAACGAATGGTATTTAAATTCATATAGAATTAAAATTTGTTCTTAAATATTTAGATTCATTTCAAAAATTACTTTAATTCTGTAAATACGATATTTATTTGTTTTCTGCTATATTAAGAAAAGCTTGATCTCGACTTAATTGTTAATAGTTCTGACAACTTTATCGTTATTGTTATATTTGTATAAATATTTTATATTAATAGTATTATTATTAACGTATTTATAAATAGTACACGTGCACATACACAATTTTACATAGACGTTCATCAAATATATTTTCGGGGCATTTTCTATATGTATTGATTTTTGTCTATAATGGGTTAATTTAATAAATCATTGCTTATAATTCAATTATTCTAAGGTTGTAAAAAATGAACTATTTTATGACAACAATATATTTGTTCAACTAATTCTGTCTTCCAAGTATACAATTGAAAAAATATGTATTCGTTAAAATAAGAGTACAAAAATTTATTCAAAAATGATTTTAAAATATTTATATTAAATATACAATATTTAATAACGTTAAAAATTACAATTATAAAAAATTTATTAATATCTATAAAATAAAGAAACATTAATTACATTGTATAAATATGTAAGTACTATAATGGATTTTGTATACATATAAATTTGTTGTACATATTCAAAGTGTATACTTTTATTTATGGAATAATAAATAAAAGTATTTTACATACATCTTCATGCACATATTTTCTGATGTTCATTCTGATCTAAAAGAAAATTTTAAAAAATCATGTGTTACTGTTTTTGTAAAAAAATTTGTTTATATTTATTCTTTAATTATAAAAAAGCTGCTTCTAATTTCATTCCTTAATATATTAGATATTTATTTTTTATTATATATTTCTCTAAATTTGTAGTGTCTTGAAACATAACAAATAAATTAAATATTATTAGTCTATTTACAATTATTTTTGAATAAAAACTAAAAACTGTTATACTTTTATTTTAAATTCAATGTAATTTTAAAATAAATTATAACTATGCAATTTCATAATTTAATTATATATTCTTTTATTATTCTGATTTAATTTAAAAGCATTTGAGATCAAAGAAATTTAAAAAAGTACTAGTTCCATATAAAAATATTTTTTTTACTTTTTTTTTTCATATCATGAATTTTAAAATAAATACTTTTTTGTCAAATATAGCTATCCTTATACGTATCGATGTTTACTTAATATATAATATAATTTACAATCAAGAAACTATTTTTTACTAAATTTTAACGTTGAAGATTACATTATTGAAAATTAATAAACAAATTTGTTTATATAACAAAATATAATTTAGACAATTACTATAGAAGAATATATTATTTGGATACAATATATAATACAAGCATTATATAATAATTATACTGTAAAATAAATGGTCTTTTAATATAACAAAAGTACATAAAATTTATAATAGAAGTAAAATGTAAATAAAAATGTAGAGAGTATTTTGATATTCACATTCGCACAAAACATGTACATTAAATTACAATTAGTTCTGAAAATACATTACCATTTTTTTTTTCATACATAAGTTGAAATACAATCAGTAGCATAATCTACTAGAATGTAAATAATCAATTAAATAAACAATTGATGGAGTCTACGAATATGATGATAAAAGTTTAAAAACAATCGATTTAAAAACATATTCCTATTACAATATTAACGTATTCTGTTACAAAATTTTCTTTAAATATAATAATTTTAAATATTTAAATACACATATTTTTATAGATTTATACACATTCTCAGGATATATTCTTTGAGTGTGAAGTGTCAATGTTGTATACAATGAGTCACATAATCAATGGTGATAAACGATCTATAATGTAATATTTACATAGAAATGCGATTACGATATAAAGGTAAGGGACATATAAAGATGAATTTCGATAATAATGTGTAGAATATTAATTACAATTTGTGGCAATTATTCATGAGAGTCAAACTTCATCGTATTGCTGTATATATATATATATATATGTGCATATAAAGTTCTTTTTATCTTTATAATTCTAAGTTATACCAAGGAGAGAATTTTTTATTTTATTATATAAAACAATCATTTAAAATCAAAAGTACCATAGAAAATAGTACGAATAGAATAAAATAGATAAAATAGATAAAAAATAAAATAGATAAAAAATAAAATAGATAAAAAATAAAATAGAAAAAATATAATAAATAAAATAGACCTTAAGTATAATAATGGTGAATAATATCACATAGATAATGCAAGTATGAATAATTGGCAATATAACTTGAATAAAATATATTTTATTTTTAATCAAAATCTTGTAGTAATTGACAACCACGCAAACTTTGTGTAATTTTTTATAATTTCCATTAATACGTCAACAAATAATATAAATAATTATATTGATTACTTCAGCAAATTATAAAATATTACAGTAAATTAAACAAGATTTTTTAATATCACAATATTTATGCAATACTCTTAACGAGAAATTTTATTACCTTGACAAAAAACTACTTATAAAATATTATACTCTATTGACCGTATAGGAGTGAAATGTAAGGTAGTCGTTAGTTTTTCAATCTGCGACTATTTTGATGATATAATACCAACTCAATATTGGAAATTTTATAAAGTAACTCATTTTTAATGGCGAACAAAAACATCCCATATTCAATTATCAATGCGATTGTATTTTGATACAAACAACAAACACATACAATATACTTATTTTGTATATTATGAGTCTACGTAATAAATTGAAAAAAAAATAAATTAAAAAAAAAACTGGTAAATTTTCTATTTATAAACTTCATTTACAATTGTTAATTAATTTTTTATGTTAAATTCCCTACAAAACTTAATTATTGTCATCTCCTTCTAGAAATTTTTAATAAAAAACCTTTTTAGGTACGCATCATATATATTAAAGGATTATTCTAAGCAAGCATTTAATCATATTGTTTACCAATTCAATGTCCCTTCTTATTGGGTAGCTACATAAAATTCCATTATCCTATTATGAATTATCCATAATATCATCATCACAGTATTAGTTGAAAATAACGAAAGTAATATAAATACTAGAATAGTAATCCAATATTCGGAATGAAAAAGGTTCATAATAAAATTCGTTTGTTTTTATGCAAACTTTTAAAATATTCAAAACTACTTAATCCACAATACATAAAATGGTAAAAGGATATTTTCTATATATAGAATTGTTACATTTTTTGTAATGCATTTATGTTCGTAACAAATGATAAAACAGCTTAATGATGTAATGCACAAAAGTCAATTCACCGACAACTTCAGAACTTTTAATTATAATATGCATAAAAAAGTATAATAAAATTTAAACCACAAAAGAATACATTTCAATTTCTTGTATAGCTTTCTCCAGCTATTTAGTAGAGAATAATATTTTAGGATAAAAATAAAAAGTGTTCAATTGTCATATTCCAGAGTTTTTTTACGTTTTAATAATATGGAATAATTATATTTTGAACAAAAAATAAGTATTTCAATTGCATATGCAAAAGTGATATTTCTTTAGTAATTTATGTAATAGTACACTATTTATGTAACTTACTAGACATAAATTACTTTTAATATCGTTTTATCAAGTTTTATAAAAGAATTCCCTTTAAAAAAATCAATACACTTTTCTAATAATACGTAGACAGATATATAAAAATATGAAAATAACAAAAAAATAAAGAAAAATAAATTTTAATAATTTATTTCATTTCTTTAATATATTCTCCATTTTAACACAAATATCCATGATATTATTAATTATATATAAATAACCTATACGTAGAAGAGATTTCATAAATAAATGATCGGAAATACAATTCTGAACAATTAGTATAAACATTAAAATTTATAAAAGACAATTAAAGAACATTTTATTAAAATGCAACTTAAATCTTTTTGTTTTTCTTATTACGTATATAATATTCGTAAAATAATTTTAATTTTATGATCGGAAATCAAATAATAAAATAGCTGAGTAAATTATTACGAGGATTTAATAAATAAAATAGATTGCTCTATTAGCTTCAAGATAAAATTTTTAAAGTTTCCTTTTTAAAAAGACGACATATTCAAATTTTCATTTGTAAAAATCAAAGAAAACTAGTTTTCCATCTTTACTTCGTACGTAATCAAATTATTACATATGGTTACCTACATTGACTGTAATTATAATTATGATATTAATTATAATACTCATATTAATTATTTTATTTTCATTTGAAAAAATGATTGGGGACAAATTACTTGATTAGTGAATTATTTTCATTTATCTCTAATAAAAATAAATGACATTAACGTTCAGTAAAATTCAGTAATTTCGGTAAAATTTAAATATAAAATCGTATACATATACACAGCAAGGCCGAAATGCCACGTATCAAATAAATAGAGGTCATCTCTGAAAAGTTGATAAGATGATAATGAGAAGAAAAAACTTATAAAATATATATTCTACAAACTATCTGACCAAAACTTAACCAAGAGAAGCTTTATTTAAATTAAGTAATTAAGATAAATTTTTTCCATTTTAGTGACTATGTTAATAATTTTTTTACCGAAAATTAAATTCTTTCCATATAAATGAATATAAGAAAATATATATTCTGGCAAAAATATATTTTAATATGTACAATTTTCAATTATGGATAAGCTCGGAGGATTTTTGCCATATAGGTTTGAATTGCAATGATGTACTCTTTATTTATAAATACAATTGTAGGCTTATAAGATATTAGTTAATAAGGCTATATTATTGTAAATATTCTCTAAATCATTAATTGCATAACGACATGTTTTAATAGATTCTTGGTTAAAATAATAATGTGTATTTAACATATTATATTATAAATTTCATTGGATATATTTCGAATATATCACAAATTAACTTATTTAAATAACATCGGTAATATTCCTTTTTAAAAAAATTGCTCTAAAATAATTCCACATAGTAGTTTTATTTATATAATTATGGAATGCTCAACCCCAATAATCTACTTCAGATTTCAATTTTACTTTTTATCCTAACATTATATTTTATTTTAATTTGTACCTACGCAAATCAATATATTCGAATTAATAAATTTTGCTTTTTATGAGTTATCAATATTATACTAGTACGTTGTGATTTTCTCACGTTAATTGCTACTTATAATTTAATTCAATAGATTAGTTTTTAATCTATTAAACATTATTTAAAATCTGTTAAATCTATTAAGATTCAAAAATTATTGTAAGATCTCAGTGACAGTCATTCCAAAAAATCACAGATATATGCATATCTATTTTTGAACAACTTTTTCTTGAGCTTTTACATAAATGTGCTAAACAATTATTACCCTATTTTAAATACATTTTTGTAAACTGTTTTCTACTTAATTTCTAATTATCGGAAATAAAACTAATCTAACCTAAAAATGTATTAATTAATTATTTTTTAATATTAATAAATGTTTGCAAGTTTTTGAGAATTTGAAATTTCTCTTTTAAATTATCGATAATCATTAATTTAATCTTTATCCTTTACAAAAAGAATTTTCTTATATATATATATATATATATAATTAAAAAAAAAATATATATATATATATTTAAAAAAAAATATATATATATATTTTAAAAAAAATATATATATATATTTTTTAATATTAATTAATATTTTTTAGGAATATTGACATTACTTTTTTAGCTATAATTACCTTTTTTATTTTTAATTATGTTTAGATTAAAAACTTTTTCATCTAATCCAGCAAAGTTAATGTTGTAGAATTACTCTTATCAATTTTACTGTTACTATTCCCCATCATATTTTGACTTAGTCTTATGATAGAAAATATTTTCTCAACTAGAAAATATTTTTATCGACTTTTCTAAAGATTCAATTACATCGTTTATTTCTTAGAATTTACTATTCCATTCAATACTTATAATTTTAAATATACACAACAGATTTTCATATTTGTGTAATATTGCCATTATTATCATTATTGATTAAATAATTAGTTTTCTTGAAATTGATAGTTAATCTATTATTTTACTTAAGTATAAATATATACATAAAAATCAAAACAAAAAATAAAATACAAATTTTAATGTGTTAATAATAGAAAATTAAAAACTGCGAAACATAAAATACTGAAAATAAAAAGTAATCAACTATAAAAAGAAAAGAAATTCGTATTTATTCAATATTTTAATTAATTTTGTATGTAAAAATGTCCTTATTTCCATATCAGAGACTGTAAAGTCATTATATTTAATATTATTTACAATTATAAATTGAAATATATTATTTTATTTAAATTATGGTGTCATATAACTAACTAATATTATAAATATTCATGGTTTAAAATAAATTTTTCTTTAAAATTTTTAAAACATGAATTTATTAAAATTATGTTAATTTATAAAAAATAAATGGTAACATATTTTATTTTAAACTTTGTAGTAAAGAAATATAAAATCTATAACGAATTCAATTTTAAAATGTTTTTCTTTAAATAACCAACACTCTTTAGATTGAATAATTATTTTAACAATAAATGATAATAAGAAGGAATAAAAAACTAATACATAAAAAATTTAATACAAAAAATAGTATTAATATATTTACTATTGGTAACAATGTTTAAATTTATAATGATCTTGTATATTTTATAGCTTGTACTATAATTGATTTTAAATGTCTGTTTTTAAGTTAGTGTTCTTTCTTAAATCCAGATTATTAATAAATTGAAATTTCTTTCTATTATTTATTATTTTATTTTACACTCATTCGAATAAATAGTAGGTGAAATTAAACTCTTCATGTATTTCATTTCTCATTTCGGTTTTTGTGAATACTACATAATTTGAAATATTTTGTTAAATCTAAGAATAAAAACATTTTACATTATTAGCACTAATTATAACAAATTTTAAATACTTGGATATATTAATCTGCCGAAGAAAAATTTACAACACCATTCCATCACTGTCATTAACATTTACTGTTTTTTCAAAATATATTTAATCCTTTTTATGAAGTATCAATTTAATTATAATTATTACTATTCATAGTTGTTCAATTGTTATTATTCAATTGTTTGCGTAATTTAGCTACTTCCTTAACAATTATTTAAGAAATAAATTGTTGTAGAATTTATTTTTAAACTTTGAGATGATTCAACTTGACTTCAAACAAATAAAGTGCTAAAAAGTTTAATGTACACTTCTATAAAAATATTTTTTCACTTTATGAACAAATTTTTAATAACGTGAATTTGGGGTACAGGTAATCTTTTAATTTTAAAAACGGAATATATGTATATTTTACAATAACGTGAGAGATTTTTATAAAAATTGTATGTACTAATTTTTTTTTTTTAATCATAGTTGGTTTCAATCTAATTTTATTAATCAAGCATTTTATATTTTTTTAGTTTCTCGCAATAAAAAACCAATAAATTTTTAAGATTAATCTTACTAATTGCTAACTATAAATTCAATATTAATATTTATTTTATTTTCTTTTCTGATATATTTTTCGTACTTCATGAAAAATAATACATATTCATAAATTTATAAAAACAAGAAATTAGAAATTAAGAAGCAATCGGCTAAGTGATTTTTACAATTACTTTTACAATTTAAGTGTGTATTTTAAAAACTATCAAAATTTTATTATAATGTTATTGATTCTATAACATCAATTCTAATGTTATTAATTCCAATAAAATTATTTGTAATCACGAAAAAATTTCTAGATATGTTTAATTAGCTTTAAAATAGAGAATAAAGATTTCCAAAATTATTTTTGATTATTGTTTATTATTAAAAATTAAGTAGTTTCGACATTTATATGAAATTATGATCATATCTTCTTAAAAAATTAACGAACATTACAAATTATAACCCTTACATGTAAGCTCGAGCCATTAATAAGTACTAGTATAACTACCGGCCATAGAAAGTTCTAAATCAATGAATGAACGTGATACTTTCAAACTCATCGTTTTATGTATTTGCGCAGTCGCTACAAGCGGATGTATGGGAGGTTTAGTTTGCATGATAAACGGATCTCCTTGGCTTGCATCTTCATTGAAAAATAAATGAGGGTAAGAGGGCTAATCGAAGGGCAGCTGTAGTGACACTCACATTCGTTTCAACATCAGTATCGTGCCATCGGCTCGACACGTGTCGTAACACATGGGCTTCTTTCGGCAGCTTGTCCCGGCCTCTATATCTCCCTCCCGACGTTATCTTATCCGTCGGAGACCTTTTGACCCCATGTGATGATCATAGCTTCGCTGCCAGTCAACGATTGTCGGCGTATGAACGCACCCACGCACGCAACTGAGGAAGCGGACGTTTAAAGTCAATCGCCGGCAAAAAGGGGAATGCCGCGAACTCAATCGACTTTGCCAAAATGTCGAACCTGACGTTACTCCTACTGGCGCTCATTGGGTGGGCAACTGGAGGTAAGATCTCAGCCAGTCGACACCGCGTTCTAATGATCGGCTGATTTACGCTGCTACTACTGCTGCTGCAAAATAAAACTTTATATTCTCATTACTAAAATGTTTTCTTAAATCTAATAATGCTGGACGTATTATTGTAAATTCTCACTAAATGTAGATCTTGTATTCTGGTCATAAATTCATTAGAAATATGTTTAAAATCTATAACGAAGATACATTAATTGACAGATTATTATAACAAAATTATAACAGATTATTAAACAAAACTGCATAATGCTTGTTTCATTACGAATTTATTAATATATGGGATATATTATATGTTGATTATACTACATATTTTAAATTATTGGCACACCTATTAAAAAAAAAATCTTTCACCTATTCATTATTAATTGATTATAGTGAAGTTAAATTTACATATAATGTATGTATTCTCTTTTTACAAATCTCTCTTTATATCTTTATTTTATGAGAATTCGTGTACAACTTTTATCAAATATATTGATACTGTTCATTTTTATTCTAATAAATTGTTAAAAGTCTTAAATGCTTAAATGGATACAACGTTGAATTTTTCGACAATTTAAAATCAATTTGAAATTATAAGAAAAGAATTTTTCTTAGTTTAAATACATACAGTAATTATTTATATAAAAATTATATTAATAAACAAAACATTTAAAGATTTTTGAATCTGTAATATATATTTTTCAAGATAATTATTATATAATTACTTTCATTTGTATAATATAAAATTACAAATAATAATGTTGTCAAATGGTGGTTTTAAATAATTCTTAAAAAAGTGCCTTATTGTATTTATTAAAATAAAACACATATATAATTTTATTTAATATATATAACCTATTAATATTATAATTATTCGACACATAAAATGGACAGAATGATTCTATAAGTTTATGATGAAATTGTATTATCTGCTAGGAAATTTTTTCTATCTATCTCAAATTGACGATGAAGACAACATATATAAAAAAAAATTCTATTTTTGTTAATCACTAGCTTCATAGATCTGTATTTCACAATAGTTTTATCTTATATTAAGTAGTGTAAATATTTTATCTATTTTACAAAGTTTTTAATATAATTTTGCTTTTATAATATTATTATTCGTCTAATTTTTATAAAATACATTCTATATTGTATATCATTATCGATACAATTACTTAATGCAAATTTATTTAAAATTTTAATTATAAGATACATTAACGGAATATATTACATCAAGGTAATCGGGCTGTATATATATTTAGAAAACTAGAATCTATCTATCAAATAATATAAACAATAATTATTGATTCATTTTAGTATGATAAAGTAATAATCTACTGTATTTAATACAGCACAGAAACATTGTCATGATATTTTTTTAATGCTATTTTTCAGCTGAAATATAGCATAATACTAAAAAATTTAAATAAATTTATTAGAAAATTTAAATGAATAAAATACTATTATAAATTAAATATAAAAAATATTAAACGAGTTTTATAATATTGAATTTATTTTAATTGCATTATAGAAATTGTCAAGGATCCAACTCTATGCGGACGCGTAAAATGTCATGGTATGTATTATAAACACAAAGTATATTAGTTCGCTTTTATATTAAGGATTTCATAGCTAACTTATTTTCATTTAACTGATATTATTCTTCAACTGAAAAATAATATAAACTTTTCATTTACTTAATGTTAATCATTGTCTTCGAAACCAATATAAATTATTCGAGTTATAATTCATTTTAGCTGTTCTTTATGTTTGAAACATTATTCTTTGTAATTTGTAAAGAGTAATATTAAAATATAAAATGAATATATTTGAAAATCAATATGCTTGGTGAATGAAAATTATGAAACAAATTATTTATAACTAAACTTATAATGCAGTATAAATATTCAATAATAATAATTTAATATCTGTATAAAATAATAAATATTTATAAAAACGAGAACCATAATAATTATATAATTCTAATATCTGATAATTCATTGTTTTATGATTTCATAAATAATGATTAATGATTAAAACATAAAGAACAGTAGAACTAAAATGAATTATAAAATGACTATTTTTATATTTGTTTTAAAGGAGCACATTCGCATTTTAAAAAATACAATTGCATAAAATATATTTACTTACTAATCCATGAACATTTTTTTAGTATTCTCTAATGATAATATATAAATCAAATTACAATTTTACAAATTTGTATAAATGAAAATGTATAATTTCGTGAATGTTTTTTTTTAAATACAAAATTTTATATATAAATATATAAATATAAAATTTTTATACAACTTTATTATAAATATTTTCTGATAACTCAATTAATAATCTAATTTGTTATTCTAATATATTTCTACTTATTTTGAAAGAAAGTAGTAACAATGAAAATTAATACATTTATATTTGTGGATTATTTTGAAGGAAAAAATTATATTTAAATTTCATAATACTACTATATTTGTACCAATAAATACTTTCAATTTTCTATGCTGAACATAGTAAATAGTATAATATATAATAATTATTTGTTATAATTTAATTTATGTGTACATATTTTTATTATATATATTTAAATAATAAGAAAACTAATTTATAGATGATAAATACATAATTATAAGCTGAATATCCTAACATTATAGTAATAATTAAATAAAAAATAAGCAGCTTTTATGAGATACTTGATAAATATTAAAATATATCAATCCTAATATAAATAATTATGTGATAAATTATGTTTTCAAACAAATACCGATTACACATCGTAGTAAATAAACTATAAATTTTCTGCCAATAGTTTCAGCGGATCGAAAGTTTAAGTATTCAGAGAAGATTTATTACCAATACCGTTACCGCATAGACGTGAGCACTAATTTAGGCAAGAGACCTGGATTTCAAAATGAGTCGGAGCTCCATATCAACGCAGATGTGACACTACGTTTCTCCAGTCCATGCGAGGGTTCACTGCGACTGGATAACGTGAGCGTGAGTCATGACAGAGCGAGCTATCAGTCAGAATTTCCGGACCGCGCAGGCTCCGAGTTCAAGGATGCACTAGAGCGGTATCCTTTGCGCTTTGCTTTCGATGATGGTGAGATCCGGGAGCTTTGCCCTGCCTCTGGTGATGAGGTCTGGGCACTTAATTTAAGACGCGGTCTTCTCTCGATGCTTCAGAATACGATGTTACGTTTCGACGTTGATCATCGCCACGACGAACTCGACATTAACGGTTGGTCTACCCGATACCTTATATTCCAGTATTTTCAGGCGTTATACTTTATTTCAATGATCTTATTTCTATTAACAATATAAAACTGTCCGTTATTAAGCTATAATAAATTATTTAAACAATAGATTTTATACAAACAAGATTTCCTAATTAATTGTTCATTTGAGAATAATATTTTAGAATGTAGTTATTATATATACTAGAAGAAATAAAATATTAAATATTTCTATTTTTATTCTATTTCATATACATTGATTGTTCAATTTAAAATTATTGCTCTGAATAAAATTAAATAGAACAACTGCATTCGGAAAAATGTGAAAAATAAGGTCAAAAATAACAATGAATCATATTTATTGATACAGATATACATAATTTTTGTTAATACAAATACACATTTATAATGAAAATAGGAATTTGCGAAACACATTATCGATTGCACGAAGCACGCCATACGAGTCTCATTGTGCGCAAAAGTAAGAACTTGGCAAGTTGCCGTCACAGCACAAAACACCTCTCACTCATTCAGTCTCAAACATATAGAAGTCCCTTGTCACGGACTCATGCCTTTCAACAACCGCTCCTTATCTCCAATAGTGAGTGTGAAATCACCATTGATCACAATGTGTATGAACGGATTCAGTGTCGTGACGATCATCGTCTCAGGCCACTATCTAATGGTAACAACGCGGGTGCGAGAACTGAGGTACTAACACAAACTTTCATACTTTATAAGGATGTAGGATTTTAATTATAGATATACAACTATTGAAATATATAAAATTTAAACTATGCGATAAACAATGTTTCCTAATGTTAAATATACACGTATTTTGTAATTTAACTACCGAGTTAAATAATTTCCTTTTAATTTCAATGTTTTAGCAGAGTATTGTATTTCTTATAAGTATAATGAAAAACTAATCTTCATATATATATATATATATATATATATATATATATATGCATATAAAAAATTAATGTACCTATATTAGGTATAAATATTAAGAAAGAAAATTATTACGACTCCCTTTCATTTTCATGTAATTAAATGCTATTAACTTAACAAAGCGAAGATTATATTTAATGGTTATATTTTATTATTAAAAATTAAATTTTAATATTTATAAGTCATTTGAAAAGAATAGTTATTTTTAATTTACATTTAAAATCAAATTATTTTTAACTTATACGGTTTTATGTACGTATTTCATATGTTATTATTATCTTTCCACAATGATACTCCATACATTTTTAATTATTTAAAATAAAAAGAGTCCAATATCTAAAACTAAAAATTCAGAATTTAAAAACATGAATGAGAATTATAAAAATAATATATAAAATAAATTTGATCCAAAACAAACTTATTTCCCCATAAAGGTTCAACTAAGATAATGAAGAATGAATAACATTAGATGTCATCGTTACATTATCAAAAGACTGAAGATACGATGAACAATACTAAGAACTTATCTCTTAAAAATACAAATCATTTATGTTAGCAAAATGAATTTGAATAAAAATAACATAATAATTTATTGTTTAGAAATTTCTTATAATTATTAATAAATAATTGTTTAGTAAATATCTATATTAACTAAAATAAAATATAACTATCTATCTTAGTATGTTTAGATTATATATTGTAACTAAACACAATAAAATTCTTAACGATTATTGGTATTAAAAATTCTATAATACTCTAAATATTTGAAAAATGTATTTGTAATAATAAATGAATTAACTGAAATAAAATTAAAGTAATTGAGTGTACTTAACTCACAATTGGTTGAATTCAACTAATAGATTTCTTAGTTACTTCCACTCACAATTTATGTTTATTAAGATAAGTAATTTTTAAATCTAAAAGTAAAATAAGTATTTGATAAATATAGATTTATGATAATACAATAAATAAACTATACAGAATAATTATTATTAAATTTCATTCAATTAAAACAATTATATATAATGCCATTGTTTATAAATTTAAATTGCGTATAAATTGCTTATAAATTTGAATAATTGAAGAACTTCAAAAAATTAAATAAACAGAATTTTTATTTATTAAATATCTATTATCTTGTTAATTTAATCGAATGATTCTATTTTAATTAAATATGCAAGATATTCTTATATTATAGTTTTAAATCTAAACTAATTATTTATCTAGACTAATTATTTAATATATATTAATATTTAATGTAAATTGTATTTAAAGCATCGAAATAAAACTTTTAAATCATTATGTTTCATAGGCAATTTATGCTATAATGTTAAAAAGTTTAAAGTTTCAAATAAAGTAATGAAAACTATAAATAAATAAATGCCAATTTGATTATAATAAATGAAAATTTTTTATTCTTACTTCCAACTAATTTACAAACAATTTAACATTATATAGTTATTTTCCAAATAAAACTTTTAATAATTAAATATCTTATTTTATTTCTACATTTAGTTCTTAAAAAATAAAAATATTTTTTATTATAATTTATAAGAAAACTAATTGATATTTTATATATTAATGAATTCGTCATATTATGAACTTTATAGTTACAAGCAAAACTTTAAACATATAAAATAGTATGTTGCAAACTTAAAAAAAAATATATATAGTAGGATATAATGTTTAATTATATAATAGAATGTAACATGTATATACAATATTTATAGATAGTCTCAAGTTTAGAATTGGTCGGTGAACTTAACGATAATCCACACACGAAAGTTAACGAAGAAAAACCGGAAGCAGAGGAAAGCTTCGTACATACGAAGAGGAAAAATCTACTGTATGATCATGCCAAGTCACCGCGTACCATCTATGGAGAACTTCGAACTTCTAGAGATTTACTTAAGACTATGTGTATTCTGGATATGCCTCAAGAGTTACGTGAGAACTTTTCTGAAATCTTTACAAAATTCATCCACTCCGCACGAATGCTGGATTATCAAGGATTGTCGCAATTATATAATCGGGCTCAAGGTATCTGCAAAACTGGCAGGTCAGTCATAATTCTGATTTTTCAAATTTTATTTTATAGCTATTAAACAATTCATCTGCCTTGTTTTGATAAATGAAAAATAGTTTTAAAAGAAATAATACACATTAAATATTAAATTTGTTTTTATTTTTTATTTTTATGTAAATGTAAATGGAAATTAAATAATTAATATATATATAATATTTTTTCCAATAGATTATATTGGAATTATAAAAGTTTTTCCAAGTTTTGATATATAATACTCTATAACATGCAATTTAATAAAAAACAACATTTTTATGCTTGTAATTTTCGAATTAAATTTAATAAATTCATAAATTATTGTACATTAATATTTAAAATGACTATTATACATTTGTATATAATAATTGTGCTATCGTGTAAATAAAAAATCTTTTTATTTATTTTAAAATATTATATTTTTTTATGAAATGCTTTTTGCGTCATTGTTTATCATTTACCATTTATTTATATAATCTAAATTTATAATTAAAAATTAAAATACTATGTATTATTAATACATCTACAGTTGATTAAATTTTTATTACAACATAACAATATTTTCATTTACGAAGTTACATTAATTTTTATTCGTGCTTTTATGTATATATTGGTAAAAAAATCGATTTATTTGAACATTATTCATGAAAAATTTATAATTTATATACAAAAAATATTTCAATTAAATTATAGGAAGCATATAATTAACGCATTACCGTTTATTGGAAGTAATGCCGCTGTTAACGTAATGAAAGATCTGATTATAAAGGGGTATGTGGATAAAGATAAAGTGAGCTTTTGGGTAACTGCCTTCACTTTAATACCACGACCAGATCAACATACCATAAATGCTCTTGCACCACTTCTTGACTTCCAAAGTAATATCCTAGAAGCACAGTTCATCCTTAGTTATTCATCGGTCATACATACATATTGCATTACTCATGGGACTGACTGTACTAATCTTGAATCAATAAAGAAATTTATGAAGTTTGTTGAGGAGAATGTAGTAAAAGGGTGCATACCACGTGCTTCTGCTCGGTCTAATAAAAAAGAGGTGAGAGATGATGATTTTCTGATCCTGGATAGTAATTATTTTATAAATATAAATTTATATTAATATGATAAACAAGCTACACAGAATAATATTGAATTTAATTTAATTTAAAACATTACATACTTGCCTATAAATTCATATAACTGAAAAAATGAATATAATTAAATAAAGAAAATTTTTATTAATAAACTTATGATAAATATCTATTATATTATATTAATATAATTGAATTATTCAAATAAAATTCAATGTACTTACGGATTATGTTCTTATATTATTATTTCATATTTAAATTTATAATCTAATTATTGGATATGCACTAATATAGTCGCTTCATTTGTAGATCATATAGATATTTTTAAATTATTAAATATCTTGGAATCGTTTTTTTATTAAAAGTAGAAGATATTTCCGGCAATACGTAATTTATTATTATTTATATAGTGATAATTTATGTAATAAACAACATTGTAAATAAATACTTAAAATTTAATTATAGAAGTCAATTCAATCAATTTTGATCGCGATCTAACTCTTGAATAGATATAATTTCGATTTTTTATATATTTTGTATTTCTTAATATATTTTGTAGCTTAATTTTAAATTAAATTATTTTATCAAATATTCAGACACTGGAGGCCTTGAAAGCTATAGGAAATGCAGGTTTAGAAACAAAAACTCTTTTGGATGAATTGAAAACATGTATAAATGATGAGAGCGGATTTATAGACATGGAAGTGAAAATTGCAGCTATCGAAGCTCATCGAAGATTCCCTTCTTGCGAGAAATCTAGAAATCAATTTTTCTTAAATAATTATAGAAACTTCACCATCGATACTGAAATACGTATTGCTTCTTATTTGCAAGTTATGCGATGCCCTGATTATAATGTTGTCAAAATTATACGTCGTACTCTCGAGGAAGAAGAAGTTAACCAAGGTAATATCATTTTTAATAATACTAAAATTTAATTCTAATTATATAATAAAAAAATTCACAATCCGTTATATAAAAAACTTAAATGTCTAAAAATTATAAAATATTATATCAATTTTTCCTTTTCTTAAACTAATTTTATAGTCATATTAATTTATTAAAATAATTCTGATGTTATTTTAATTCATACAAATTCAACATAGGTAAAAAAACATATTTTTAATGTTTATATTAACAGTGGGTTCGTTCGTTTGGAGTCATCTAAAAAATATGTTGTCGTCGTCGTCACCTACTCGTATTGAAATTCAGAGTCTACTCACCGATCGTGATCTTGGTAACAAATTTAACGGGGATCTTCGAAAATTTTCCCGCAACTATGAAAATTCCTTCTTTTCCGAAGAATACAATATCGGAGCCAACTACCAAACAAACTTGATCTTCTCTCCAAAATCGTATATACCACGAACGGTTTCATTCAATTTAACTTTTGATCTATTTGGCGAATCGGTCAATTTTTTTGAAGTCAACATGCGAGCCGAAGGTCTTGAGTTTTATGCGGAAAATTTATTTGGTCCTAGTGGACCCTTTAGCAGCGTTAAGGTAGCTGATCATTTTCGACAATTTTTACGTCATTTTCGTTCTGTTAACGACCAAGATAGTGAAAAAGAATATTGGAACAATATAAAAAAGTTACCTAATGTGATAGACAATGACTTTAATAATCCACGTATCAGTCTTAGTTATAAAATCTTTGGAAATGAAATTAAGTTCACTATGTTAAATAGCGATCAGGATATACGCACGACTTTAGCTAGTCTAAGTCCGTGGGAGAAGGTAAAACAGATATTGTCTGGTAAAGAAATAGTACACTATGAAAATACTGCAATGTTTTTGGATTCATCATATGTTGTACCATCAACTACGGGTTTACCAGTGAAATTAGATGTATCTGGATCAGCTGCTTGTAATATCAAATTGTCTGGAATATTAAATAGTCAGAAACTTATAAGTAATGGAGAACTTGAAATCAATGGAAACATTATGCCAAGGTAAATTGTGTAAATTTAATATCTTATATAAATCATATATATTCTACTAATTCATGAAATTTCGATTTTAACCTTTTTTTGCGAAAATTTTGTATATTGTATATGATATATATATATATATATATATATATATATATATATATATAATTATTATACTATAATTATATACAATCGACGTTGTATATTCTTATATGTAGCACGATAAAATAATCTACTATAATTTATATAGGATTTTCACATTAATTTTATCATTTAGTATTTTTATAAAGTAGAAAATGATGTATCATATTATATATACATTTTCGTTTAATTTACATTCTTTATACTATCTTATGTTTATAGGAAGTATATCTTATAATTAATCGTGTTGTTTCATTTGTCCGTGATTTACAAAATTCGATTGCGAACTAAACATCAAATTTAAAACAGATTTAAACTATTAATTTTATTTTGTCCAAAAATCTGACAATACTTAATTAATTATTAAGGTGCTGCCTAAATTTATAAGTTTTCAATAAACAGTTTAATATATATTATATTGTTTTAACAATAATCGGAAATAAATTATTTCGAACCGGAAAACATCATTTAAAAAATTTTAATTAATTAATATTGTTTTTGAGAAAGTACTTTTTGTATTTTTCTAAAATATATGCTATTATTAATATAATTATCAATATTTTAAGTAAAATTTAATATAGTTATACTCTTATTTTAAAATCTTTGATGAAATATCCTTATATACAATAATAATCTAAGTAACACAATATCATTTTAATTTAAAAAATACTATAATTTATAATTTATGCAAACAAGCGTAATTTTGTAATTAATTATTCTAATTCTTTATGAACAATTATAATTTAAAATTTTTATTATAGTACACTAATATATAAAGTTATAAAATTTATTTATTATAATAAATATAATTATAATGTAATTATAATATATATGTACGTGTATATATATATATATGTATACTCACATATATATATATATATATATATATATTACAGTGTGAGCATTGATATAACTGGGACAATGACTGTGGATGCATTTTACAAAAGCTCTGGAATAAAACTGAAAAGTAGTATATATTCAATAGGCGCCGTAGAAGCTGATCTTAAAATCAAAGGTCTCAAATTAGCAAAATTAAGTTGGAAAATACCAAGCCATAAGATGGAAGTCTTCTCATTAACGACAGACATCCTTCTTGTGACGACGAATGGTGCCGAATATAAAGAACAGCCCATTGTCAACTTCATAAATACAGATACTTCAACAACTATTATTAAAAATACAACATGTAGTTGGTCTGCCTTGGATAGACTCATTGGTTTGAAGCTGTGCGCAGATTATCAATTTCCTAATGTTACGAAAAATCTTAATACGTCATACTTTTTACTTAATGGACCAACTATATTTAAATTATCGCTGATTAAAGCTGATCCAACAGCTGATAGCTATTTACTAGAGTATAAATGGAAACGGACTGCAGTAAGATAATTTATTATTTATAAATAGTTTATAATATAAATAGAGTTGACAAAACTTACCACAATAAGAATTCAAATAAAATATTAAAAAAATTTTAAATATACATAACTGACTGTAAATAATCATTCACATACTTTACGTAATAAAATAATTAATTATAATGAAATTAATTATGAAATAGATTATTCGAAATTAATAAGACAAATAATAAAATTTCTTTAATTATTTATTTATTATTTATATTTCTTTATATTACAATAAATAAACAATAAAATAATAAAATAATAATATATAATATAAAAATATTTCCTATTATTATTCAGATATAATTTTAATATTAAAAATAGTTCATTTATAAATGTAATAATATAAATAAAATATCATAGATGTAAAAAAAAACATAAGTATTTCTTAAACTGCATAATGGTTTTAGAATGAGAGTACAATAAGACTTGCGTTCGATACTCCCGGCTCTCAAATGCAAAGAGAAATAAGCGCAACAGTTTCTTTTGACGCGCTTAATAATAATGTAACATTATTACTTAAGTCGAAGGGTAATTCACTGATTGCTCAAGGTATATATAAATTTTGTTAATATTATTATAAATCCAACGGAAATTATTACAAACGGACAATTTTAGGTACATACAAAAGAACAGACGATGAAACCTTCATAGATATTGGATTAAATAGTAATGGGACAAAACATTTGGATGCTCGCATAGGTTATTCGAGAAAAAAAGCAAAATATGGTTATACTTATTCTCCAAAATTATATTTAGCAATTAATAACGAACGGATAGTTAATCTATCAGGTAAAAATATTTCCATTAAAATTATTATTTCAATGATAATTACGAATATATTACTATATATACCTTTTCAATAAGTTTTTATTTATAATAGTATTATATATGAATATATACATATAATAATTCAATATTTTTACTTCTTTGGTCAATTTTAGGAAGCATAACAAATCAAGATAAAAATAATGCTTCCGAATGTCATATAGGTTTACGATTTGAAACAAAAAACCTGTCGAGTCATATATTCGGATATATATTGAAAGGCAACGATAGTATATCAGGCAATATCAAAATTGAATACAGATTTCATGAAAAGTTCAAGAATGAAGTTTTACAAACTGAATTTTCTGTAATAAATCGATCGACAAAAGCTCTAACGTATAAAGCAGCCGACATGAAACTACATTCGACTGCATATCCACAGCTTAATATCGTAGCAGGTTTACGTTATCAACATGCTCTTGGTCATATAGAATTACATATTGAAGTCAATACGAGTCCCCATCTTCATAATGCGGATAGACATAAACTTACGGCACAGTTTGTTGCAACTTATTCGAAGCCATACTTCCAAACTGATGGTTTGACATTGACATTTTTTATTATATTCATTCATTGAATTTAAATATAATCATTGCTCTAGAAATTAATTATATATATATATATATATATATATATATATTTTTAGTATTATATACAATTGAAAATTAATGTAAATTTTATTTCTAAAAATCAAATATTAGATTCTTATTTGGTTACTTACCCAAAACTTAATGCAATGGATAAGCGAAATTTTTGACAACGATTAAAAGTGACATAAAAGTGTTTTTTGCACAACATTTTTGACTTTTACTATTTTGCTACTTTAAAAATAATATCAATTAGTAATTCTACTAAATTCTACTTTGAAGCGATTAAAACTAAAGTTTAATTTTTCTTTTAAATTAATTAATTATTTGTATTTAAAAGTTTTATATCACATTATTGGCTTCTTAAATCTACTGTCGTGAGTAAATTTATTTTTAGATTAATAATAAAATGAAATGAAATTTTGAATTATAAAGTAATAATTTAATTATAATCATTTTTATAGAATTAAATTACATAATAGGTCACGGATAAGAGAATACAAACTACAGAGAATATAATACTTTTATTTCTTACATAATTAAATGTTACCAAAATAATTGATATGTAATTTATTATGTAACGTATTTAATTTTAGGTGCAACAATCAGTGCTTATGTAGCTATCACAAAACCTGCTCAAGATATTGATATAAAAATTGGTGTTAATTATTATTCAATTGGTTCTGAATCAAAAACGCGCTTCTTGATTCGATACGCACCTGGAAAAGAAATTACTTTGACCATCAACGTTATT